ATCAAACCAGTTGTTACATGAAATGTTGAAGGGTAATCCTTAAGAAAAGGAAGAAGAGAAAAGAAAAATTCAAAAGTTCAGAATGGCTATCATCAACAAATGACAAGTGTTGGTGAGGATGTGGAGAAAAAGGAACCCTCGTGCACTGCTGGTGGGAATGCAGACTGGTGCAGTCACTGTGGAGAACAGTATGGAGTTTCCTCAATAAACTAAAAATGGAACTCTCATTTGACCCAGTATTTCCACTTCTAGGAATATATCCCAAGAAACTAGGAACACCAATAAGAAAGGATATATGCACCCCTATGTTCATAGCAGCACAATTTACAATAGTGAAAATTTGGAAACAGCCTAAATGCCTATCAGCAGATGAGTGGATTAAAAAAACTGTGGTACATCTACACAATGGAATACTACACTGCAGTAAAAAAGAAGGGATTCTTACCATTTGCAATAGTATGGATGGAACTGGACAGCATTATGCTAAGTGAAATAATCCAGAGAAAGATAAATATCACATGATCTCACTCATATGTGGAATATAATGCACAACATAAACTGATGAACACAAACAGCTCCAGAGACAGAGAAGCATCATTTAGATGCTCAAACTTCAGAGGGAAGATAGGGGAGGATGGGGGTAAGGGAGAGAGATCATCCAAAGGACTTGTATGCATGCATATAAGCCTAATGAATGGACACAGACAACAGCGGAGTGAGGGCATGATTTGGGGGGGTTGAGAGGTAATGGGGGAATAAGGACACATATGTAATACCTTAATCAATAAAACAAATAAAGAGAATAAAGGGGGGATCCAGAAAAAAGTTCAAAAGTTTGAAAAATAAAATAGCAATATATACATATCTATCAACAATTGAATCTAAAAATCAAAATAAAGGAACAAGGACTCGAATGAACAATATAAACTGATGAATAAAATAGAATCAGAGGTATGGAAACATGGAACAAACTGATGAATCTCAGAGGGAAGGGGAGGCAGGAAGAGATTAACCAAATATCTTATATGCATTTATGCATTTCTATGGACACAGATAATAGCATGGTGAAGGCCTGTCACAGGGTGGGAACCAGATGGAAGTGGGCAATGAGGGATATCTGTAATACTCTCAACAATAAAGAGTTTTTTAATTTAAAAAAATCCTATATTGCTCCTCTTTGATGTTTTTAAGATATTTTTACATTTTGAAGCATCTTTAGTTAGTTTCTTTTTTAAGTAGCCATATTGGTCTGAATACCTAACAACTACTTTATTGAAGTTTTTCTTATTGCTCCATGACATCAATTGGTAGTATATATTTTGTAACATATGAATAAGAATTATTCAGAGATGTTTATTAAAATTTTAGAATCTGTTAGCCAAACTCATGCTTATTGAAACAGAACCTCTAAGATGGTATCCTAGTATCCGTATTTTGAGAGTTTTTTTTTTAAAGTATTCCTAATGTGTACAGAAGTTTGACTTTATTTGTACTTTAAAGTCTTATATTTGGTGGTTGTTGTTTTTTTATTGTAGAAGCTTAGGATCTAAATGCATTGTTTTGTATACTTTTTGTAGCACCAAATGCTGAACAATCCATTATTTTTACATCTATATGATACCCTAACTTTTATTATATTTCAGGAGTGTGTATGTGGGGTGTGTGTATGTGTGTGTGTGTGTGTGAAAGAAAGAGAGAGAGAGAGAGAGAGAGAGAGAGAGAGAGAGAGAGAGGGAGAGAATCTATTTCTGATTTTTCTATTCAGCTGCCTAATCTTTGATCAACACCATACTGTTTTAATTAGTGTTGTCTTACAATGTGTTTTACTATCTGATTAAAAATATCTTCCTTAGTTTATATTTTATGATTTTCTACCACACTAAAATATTTAAAACATTACTCTAATTGCATCATTTTATTGCTTCACCTGTCTTTGGTAACTTTGTATAATTAAATAGGTTTTTCTACAGTTTTAAAAATATATATATTTTATTGATTTTTTTTTTAAAGAGAGGAAGGGGGAGAGATAGAGAGTTCGAAACATTGATAAGAGAGAAACATCTATCAGCTGCCTCCTGCATGCCCCCTTATGGGGATGTGCCTGCAACCAGCGTACGTGCCCTTGACCAGAATTAAACCTGGGACCTTTCAGTCTGCAGGCTGACTCTCTATCCATTGAGCCAAACCAGTTTTGACATTTTCTACAGTTTTTGAAAGAGTTCTTTAATTAGCTGCATCTTCTAGTGTACTTTTCCACATTGACTTAAGAATATTTTAGATTGGAGTACTTAATGTTATATATGTTTAAAGGGTCTGTGTTTTATTCATCTTTATTGCCTAACAAGTTTTCTGGACTCTAATAATACTCAGTTCATGTTTGATGAATAAGTCTATTTAACCTATAATATGGTTTATGAGTTCAAAACATTGTCATCTATGTATAATAAATAATGGCTACATAACAGACTTTAGATTGTAAATGTGGCAAATAGGCATAGTTCACTTGGTTAGAGTGACATCCTGATATGCCAAGGTTGTGGGTTCAATCTCCAGTCAGGGCACGTATAAGACACAATCAATGAATGCATAAATAAGTAGAACAGCAAATCAATATCTCTCTCTCTCTCTCTCTCTCTCTCTCTCTCTCTCTCTCTCTCTCTCTCTCTCTCTTTCTCTCTCTCTCTCTCTCTCTCTCCTTCTCTCTCTCTCCTCTTTTTTTCTCTCCTTTCCATCCCCTTCCTCTCCCTGTCTCAGAATGAAAAAATAGAACAACAAAAAAACACAAGAAATATCACACATATATTTTAAAATATATTTTTTATTGATTTTAGAGAGGAAGGGAAAGAGAGATAGAGATATAAACGTCAGTTATGAGAGAGAATCATTGATGGGCTGCTTCCTGCAAGCCTTCTGCTGGGAATTGATCCCACAACCACAACTCGGGCATGTGCTGTGACCAGGAATTGAACTGTGATCGCCTGGTTCGTTCACAGGTCGTTGTTCAACTATTAAGCCATGCTGGCTGGGCACAAACATATTTTTCTGGAACAGCCTCTTGGAATATAAGTGAAAAATTCCCCCAGCATCAGGCCATTGTTGTTTGTTCTTATGTAATTAGTAAAAGGAGTTTTAGCATGTTAGAGGTTCTAACTAAAAGAATGAGCTCAGTACTTCAATAAGCATTGGGGAAGAAAATCTGGTCATGAGTGGAGTAAAGGAAAGCATGGAATGTTGGGAAGGAAGCTAAGTTACTTTTTAAATTATAGGCTCCCAAGGCTGAGCATTGATAAACATTATTTGGTATTTACATTACATAAATTTTCTCTTATTTGATGAGAAGCATACTGAGGTCTCTGCCTATGTTAAACTAATTACTATTTATTTTTCTAAGTCATTGAGTTTCATGCCAGAGTAAAGTATAGTTCTGGAAGGCAGAAGTCATCTATTATCTTCTTGTTTAATAGACCTTTCTTTTAAAGGAAGACATTTTCCTGGCTTTAGGTACTCAATTATTAATATAAGTGAATAAAATAGTTAGTAGTAGCTATTATATTCCCAGGCTGTGGGAATAATATTTTCAGTAAATCCTGAAGCTAATAAGACTGTGCTACTAGAATGATGGTTAAAGATAGTATTATGTATTTTATGCTCCATGATTGCTCAAGAATGTAAAGAAGAAGCAACTTCTTGGCTAGTTGCCAAGGTTACTGTTAATATGGATTGATAGGTAATTTCTTATAGGAGATGATAGGAGGGAAAAGGGAGTTCCTGCTGAAACCAGTTTGGCTCAGTGGATAGAGCGTCTGTCTGCGGACTGAAGGGTCCCGGGTTTGATTTCGGTCAAGGCATGTACCTTGGTTGCAGGCACATCCCCAGTAGGGGGTGTGCAAGAGGCAGCTGATCAATGATCCTTTCTCATCGATGTTTCTAATTCTCTATCCCTCCCTCTTCCTCTCTGTAAAAAATCAATAAAATATATATATATATATATATATATATATATATATATATATATATATATATATATTTTAAAAAGGGAGTTCCTAAGAGCGTGGTCAATGGCAAATTATATTACACAGAAGTTTTATGAATTTCTTATTCATTTTTAAAAAATATATTTTTGCTTTAAAATTATAAAAATTTGTTATATAACATGTGTTGGCAAGGATGTGCACTGTTGGTGTGACTGCAAATTGGTGCAGGCACTATGAAAAACAGTATGGAGATTTACAAATAGAGGCCTTTTGCATGATATTCGTGCAAGAATAAGCCTTCCTTCCCCTGGCTTCACTCCAAGCTTCCCAGGAGTTGGCATGTACCAGCTCCCTGCCCACTTGAAAGCCTGCAAGTCCTCACTTCTGTGCAGAGCTCTGTTCCAGTAGCTCCCTCCACTGCCCCCCTTACCCTCATAACAGGCATCAAGCCCTTCCCAGCCGCTCCAAGCCTGAATATCCAAATTGACCTCCATCTTTGTTGGGTTAATTTGCATATTCAATCTGGCTGTGGGCATAGTGGAGTGATGGTTAATTTGCATGTTTGTCCTTTTATTAGGTAAGATACCCAAGATATGGAAGCAACTGAGGTGTCCACCGATAAATGAGTGGATGAATGATATATTTACCTACACAATGCAATGTAACACAGCAATAAAAAAGAATAAAATATTGCCATTTTTGACAACATGGGGGTTCTAGAGGGCATTATACTAAGTAAAGTAAGTCAGGTTGAGAGAGACAAATACCATATAGTTTCACTTACATGTGGAATCTAAACAAACAAAACAACACAACACAAAAATAGACTAATAGAAACAGAAATCAAAGGGATGGTTACTCAAAGGTGAGCAGATGAATGGAAAAGGTGAAGGGGTATACAGTAAAATATTTTTCCAGTATTTTTTTTTAAATTTTGAATTGTTGAATTCAGTTGAGATGTTAATCAGTGTCTGATTTTCAGGTTTACATTTAATGATTTTTCTCCCCATTTCTCTTTCTTTATAGGCTTGCCATGGGTGTTCTCCAGGATCAAAGTGTGACTGTACTGCTATAAAAGGAGAAAAGGTAAGATCTGAGATGGGCCTTTGAAAACATAGGAAAAACAGGATAATAATGTTTTTAATGTTTTTTTTTTAAAGCACTGGATTTCTACCTCAGCACCTAATAAGTAAAATGAATTCTAGTGTTTATTGTAGGCAGTTGTAAGGATTAGACTAATTGTTGCATGGCTCAGAACATATTTTCTATAAAAAGCCATAAAATAGATGTTCTAGGTTAGCACGTAATAACTAAAAGAAGGAGAAAAACACTTAAGAAGGAACCAAACATTTATTAGGCTACTAATCTGTGCTGGATACCATGCTAGACAATTTTGTGTATACGTATGTAGTCTAGGTAAGTTAATTATTGGTACATCTCTATTTTTATCTCACTTTTCCACAACAGCACGCCTGTTGTATACATATGATGATTACTAAGTATTGGTGAGTATTAAATAGCATAAACCTAGCCACTATGAGTCAGTGACTCACATTAAAATTGAAAGATTAAAAAGAGATAGTGAATTGTGGCTCTATGAGAGTTGTAAGGAAAAAGCGGATTATACTCTAGTTTCCACTCTTCGGGCTCAATAAATATTTTTGAATAAACGAGTGAATGCTACTAATTACATATGAAAAAGTTTGGGACACTATTCAAGACCACATTCTGTTTAGGAATATAAAAGTTCACTGGCATATTAATGTGTTTAAAAGTCCTGGAGTAAAGAAACCTCTTTGTTTTTCAATGTTATATTTCTAAGCTCCATTTCATCATGTAACCCACTTTTCTCTTACCAGACCACCTATTATAGTAGTTCCCTTCTATTCATGGTTTTACTTTCTATTGTTTTCTTACCCACAGTCTTCTGAGGTTAAAAAATATTAAATGAACAGAAATAAGAAATTCATAAGTGTTTTAAAATGTATTTTATTGATTTTTTTATAGAGAGGAAGGGAGAGAAATAGTTAGAAACATCGATGAGAGTCATCAATCAGCTGCCTCTTGCACGTCCCCTACTGGGGATGTGCCCACAACCAAGGTACATGCCCTTGACTGGAATCGAACTCGGGAGCCTTCAGTCCGCAGGCTGGTGCTCTATCCACTGAGCCAAACCGGTTTCGGCATAAGTTTTAAATTATGTGCCATTCTAGGTAGAGTGTGAAATCTTGCACCATTATGCTCCATCCTGTCCAATATATGAACCACCTCTCTGTCCAGGGTATCCATGCTGTATACACTATCTGTCCATTAGTCACTTCCTAACTATATCACCAGAAGGTCAGTAGTTGCCTAACACTACATCAAAAGACTTATGTCAATCACCTTACTTCAACTAGGAATTATATCATATCATATTATCACAAAAAAGGGTGAGTAATAGGATACTAAGATATTTTGAGTGAGAAAGACAAAAAACTTTTATTACAGTATAATGTTATAATTGTTCAAGCTTATTATGTTATTATTGGTAATCTTCTACTGTGCCTAATTTATGAATTAAACTTTATCATAAGTATGTATGTATGAGAAAAAGCTATGTATAAAGTTCAGTATTATATGTAGTTTCAGGCATCAACTGAGGGTCTTGGAATGTACCCCCATGGATAAAGTGATACGACCTCATAATAATCTAATAGTGTTATGTTAAACATCTATTTTAATAACAGTTTGATGGGAGTAGTTTTATAGTAAATGATGCTATCTGTAAATAAAATCAGAGTGATTCCTTTCTGATATTTGTACAGTGACGTTTATCAAATTAAGTCTTCTTGAGATAAGAAGTATACACTCTGGACAAAATATAATAGCTATTTAATGGCACAGGAGAGTGACCAAAAATAAAAAATAAATATGATAAAGGATTCTACCCTTGAAAGAAAGGAAGTTAATTGTGCAAGTTTGCATTTATGTTGCTTTTCTCCTGAGTGCACTGTTCAGTCTGCATGGGATAGGATGGTCAGAAACTAGACACGATGGCACAATCTTACTGGATTGAGAAGTCAGAGGACAGAAGTGAGGATGCCAGAATGGCTTTGAAGTGATGGCAGTTATGTTGGTATGAAGGGAGCCATAAAGGGGATAGCCAAAAAATGCTTATTCTAAACTCCACACAAATTCTTGGTTGAATCCTGAAATTTACATGTAAAGGATGATTCATACAACCCAGCAAAAAGGAATGGCAATAAGTAAACATAAAATTTAATTGCTGTCCAGTGAAGGGAAAACAAAGTTTTAAGGTTTAGTTTAGCTGAGTTAGTGATTTCCTTAAATAAAATCTCAATACTTTCCAGAGACAGGAGAATAATACAGGATGTCTACATATTAACTACAATGACAATATGCAATTAAAACTTACTAGACATAAGAAGTAGCAGGTAAAAGTGACCCATAGTCAGAAAAAGTTCAGTCAGTGATAACTAACTTAAAATAACACAGATGTTAGAAATTCTAGACAGTGATTTTTTTAAGCCAATAGGTTAAATATATTTATTATTTTAAAGGGAAGTCATCTCAGAATGAATGAACAGAGAATCATAACAGAGCACTGGAAACTGAAAGAAATAGGAAAATCTACATTTAAAAGCAAAATATAAGAGCAATTTACCAGATGGGCTTTTAACAGCTGGTTGGAGATGACTGAAGAAAGGGTCAGTGAAATTAAAGATTAATTTGAAGAAAAATCCAATTTGAAGAACAAAGAGAAGGAAAATAAATAGGTCCTCAGTGACCTGTGAAACAGTATTAAATGATTTAATACAAATGTATTGTAAATGGAATCCTATAAGAACAGGAGGGGAAAACAGGGAAGTAAAAATAATAATAATTAATGAGGCATTAGTAATGGCAAGCATTTTCCACACTTGGTGAAAAAAAATAAATTTACAGAAAAACATAAATTTAAGAAGTTCAGCACAACCCAAGCAGGATAAAAACAAAGAAAACTATACCCAGGCATATCATAATGGATCTACTGAGAAAATAAAAACATCTGTGATTAAAAGAAAATCTGAAAGAGGCTAAAGAAAAAATACACATTATATACTAGTTTTGGGGCACAATATCATAACTGAGGATAGACAGAATTCTCATAAAAAAGTATGGATAATGTACAATATAAAATCATCATTGAGTTTTATGAGTTCTTTATGTACTTTGGAAATTAAAACTTTGTCAGAGCTACTGTTTACAAATATCAACTCCCATCTGGTTGGCTGCTGTTTGTTTTGTTGTCTGTTTCTTTTGCTGTGCAGAAGCTCTTCAGTTTGATAAAGTCCCATTCATTTGCCTTTACTTCATTGCCTTTGGGGTCAAGTCCTTAATATGTTCTCTCCAATCAAGTTCCATATCATACAAATAACCCAATCAAAAAGATGTCAGAGGACCTGAAAACACACCTCTCCCAAGAAGACAAACAGACAATAGATATATGAAAAGATGTTTAACCTCACTGGCAATCAGGGAAATGCAAATTAAAACTACAATGAGATATCACCAGTTAGAATGGCCATTATCAACAAGACAAGCAACAAGTGTTGGAGAGGGAATGTAGACTGGTACAACCACTATGGAAGGCAGTCTGGTGATTCCTCAAAAAATGAAAAATAGAGCTATCATCTGACCCAACAACCCCAATCCTGGGTATATACCCAAAAAACTCAAAATTATTTATATGCAAAGATATATGCACCCCTATGCTTACTGCAGCATTATTCACGGTGGCCAAGAGTTGGAAACAGCCAAAGTGCCCTGCAATAGAGGACTGGATAAAGAAGATATGGTATATATACACAATAGAGTGCTACATGGCCATAAAAAAAGATGAAATAGCATCATTTACAACATGGGTGAACTTTGTGGACATTATGTGAAGTGAAATAAGTCAGACAAAAAAAGCTAAGAAATATATGATTTAATTCATATGTGGGATATAAAACTAAAACTTATGGACACAAACTGCAATGTGGTGGTTGCCAGAGGGAAGGGGTAGAAGTAGAAAGGGGTCCTAATATGAGGTGACAGGAGATTTGACACTTTGGGTGGTGGGCACATAGTCCTATATACATATTTTGTAAATTAGTAATCCACAATGAAACCTATATGTTCATGTTGACTAATGTCACCCCAATAAAATTTAATTTAAAAAATCATAATTGAAAATATCTGTATATATAGTGAAAATACACATAAAAATAAAAGCAAATTTAAGACATATTCTGGTCATAAAACATGAGAGAATTTTTCATCAGCATATTTGCACTAAAATAAATTTCTTCAGGCTAAAAGACTGTTTAAAACAACAACAGAGCTTCAAAAGCATAACAAAAACCCTGGCTGGGTGGTTCAGTTGGTTGCAGTGTCATCCCAAACACCAAAAAGTTATGGGTTTGATTACCAGTTAGGGCACATACCTACGTTGTGGGTTCAATTCCAGATTGGTATCCGTACAGGAGGCAACTGAACATAGATGCTTCTCTCTCTCCGAAACCAATAAAAACAACTACAGTATATCCTTGGGTGAGAATTTTTTTTTAAAAAAAGCATAATAACAGAAGCCCAAACTGACAGAATTAAAGAGAGAAATAGGCAAATCCACAATTATAGTTGTAGATCCTAATACTCCTATCTGTCATTAGCAGAATAGAAAAAAAAATTGTAAAGGCATAGGTGATTTGAACTACACTACTAACAGTCTAGACCTAACTGACATATACCAGGTGTACCAGTTAATAATGTGGATTTTGTAATAAAAGAAAACATGATAATTTCAAGATAAACATCAAAAGTGCTTTATTCGCTAGCTACACATTTTCCCCATCTTTCAGGTAATCTGTGGAGATATCCCAAAAAACCTTTTCTTGTTTTTTTTTAAATATATTTTTATTGATTTCAGAGGAAGGGAGAGAGATAGAAACATTAGAAACATCAATGATGAGAGAGAATCATCGATTGGCTGTTTCCTGCATGACCCCTGCTGGGGATCGAGCCTGCAACCTGGGCATGTGCCCTTAACTGGAATTGAACCC